TGATCTCACTCCATCAGGTAGGAAGCTCTTCTTGGGGGCAAAAGAATACTTTTGGAAAAATCTGATTAATACCCCAAATCAAATAATTTATACTATTTATATTTACTTCTACAAACATTTGTCAAACCCCTATAACTAATTCAGAACCCAGCATATTCAGATCTGATTAAAAAGTACAGCCCTAAGACATATGGTGTGCTCTATGTAGACAGTAATAATATAAAATCCACCACAGAAACATTTGTATCCCAAGGCAGTTATAAGGTATGTGGAAAAACCAAGTTACTTTTTACAAGAAAGAGTCTTAAATAATGAATAAAATAATAATAAATCAACATTTATACTATGGTAGTGCCGAGAGGCTTCAACCCAGTTGGAACCCCACTATGCCAGGCACTGTTATAAACATACAGTAAATGATGGTCTCTGACCCTTTTGACTCTTATATAATGTAAATATGATGTGACTAAATTTTGAGTCCTTCTGGCACTTCTGTAGTTTAAAAGGAAACCCTTTAAAGTGTAAAGTAAGCAATTCACTCAGGAAATTATCTGCCAAAGCTAAGAAAGATCAGGAAATGCCAGCTCCACAATGCAGGAACACGACTGCTTGTACAAAGGCTCAGAGTGTATACCATTCAAATTGAAAGACACCATTTTGTATGTTAACACTTCTGGTATGTGTGAATTCCCCAGGCTTGCCAAAAGAAATACAGCTGAGAAGAGTATGAGTGTGACTTGTATGACAGGAATGTACAATCTCAAAGACTTCTTTAATATTGTAGTTTTTATTTTTGTAAGACTGGATATTGGGTCTTCCGTTTTTCTGGTGACATCAGTACGGTTTAACATTTAGGTTGTTACGGCTCAATGGATATATTGCAAACTGATGGGGGAATCTTGCTTCAGATAAGCATCTAGAATGTAGGTCTCCAAGGCTGTTGAAAAGGGTTAGGGTGTGTAGAACCAGGTGGCAGTGGTTATAGGTGGAATGCTTCCTTCAAAGTTCAAACGTAGTTTGAAATAGAAGTTAAAGTACAAATTATTAGGGGCTTGTCTACACTGGCAATTAACAGTGCTGCAGCTTTCTCGCTCAGGAGTGTGAAAAAACACCCCCTGAGCACAGCAAGTTGCAGCGCTATAAAGTGCCAGTGTAAACAGTGCCCCAGCGCTGGGAGCTACGCCCTTTACTGAGGTGGTAACCTGCGCCGTGACCATACAAGGCATGTTAAAGCGCTGCCGTGGCAGAGCTTTAGCGTTGCCAGTGTAGACTAGCCCTAGATCTTGTCTAGGTTAGAGCTCTTTCCAGCAGCAAAAATCCATGTCAATGCAAATCATCAGTGTAGCGGCACTGCAGGGGTGTAAAATGGGCTTCGCTTTAGTGCTGCAGTGTATCTGCATCAGTGCAAAAAATTCTAATACAACCAAGCCTTTAATGCTGCAGGTAGCAACAACTACTTCTTTGCAGCTTCGACTGCACTCTGAGTTGGTGGTGGAACTCAGCTTAGCAGCTGAGCCAGAATCAATGGTGTCATAGGCACAGATCTAAGTGTGCTGCCAAATGGGAGTCCAATACTGGGCATGGATGGCCTCCATATTGATGCTTTGAGTTCTCTGGAATTGGGATGGGAATCCTTGGTAGATCCTGGAGTTTTGAGTGGTTGGAAGGATGTGCCCCCTGCTCCTTGCACTTAATTCCCCCTTCATGGGAGGATTCTAAATGGACTTCAGGTCACTGAGTTGTGACATTAAATTTGTCTTGCCCTCCTCAATCCTGCCATTCCCCTAACACTGCCATTGGTGCCACTCACCACCATGACCACATGCTTGTATGTTATATCCCTATCCCCCACTTTACATATTTCACTTATCTTTTTGTTTGCAGACTCTTTGGGGCAGGGACTGGCTCAGTGGTGCCCATGTCTTGACTGAGACCCTTGGTTGTATCATAAATGATGACATACTACGTGTTTTTTGTCCACAGTGTCCCATAATAACTAGGAATTAACAGGCATGGGCCCTATCCTGATAGGTGCTGAGTATTCACAAGTCACTAAGGAAAACTGGTTGCTCAACAACCGTCAATATTAGGCTCTCTAATCATTGTAGAATGTGCTATGGCTTGAAGCTACAGACCATATTCCAATCACAGGGAGAGGTGCTTTGTCCACAGAAGCTGTGCTGTAGTAGGAGCTATAGGGAAGAGTTCTCCATACTTGGCTAGAATTGCTCATGAGGACTCCCGGTGACCACCTGCCGCAACAGCAGCAGCAGCAGCTCCCCCACCTGGGACTAGTTGTACAGTGCACTCCTCCCAGTGATGTGGTTAATGAAGGAGTGGCCTTGCCCTCAACCCTCCCCCACGAGAAGATGGCATTAACGTGGAGCAGAGGCTCCACTCGCTGTCCAGCTACACTGTGTCTGCCCCCTCCCTAAGGGATATGTGGGTGGAGACTGTGCTCTCCCATCTGTAGCCCCTACATCCAGAATGGCTACTTCCCCTGCAATTCCCCACCCAGCTGTTTCCAACATATGCGAGAGCCTCAGCCTCTGATCCCATCCACATCCTGTGGCCTCATCTAAATTTAGCCTTTGCAATATCTTCCCTCGTGATTCCTCCTTAGCTCATGAGGATGGGATAGTAATTTCAGTCCCTCTCTTTTCTCCAAATAAGAGTGAACTGGCTGGGCAGGAAGAGGAGCCAGAAGTTAACAGACATGTTTGTGGATGGCATATGTGTGGGGAGTTCTAGAACTTTAGCTTCAGTCATGTATAATCGTGTATGGGTATTAAAAATGACTCTAGTGATTAAAAATACAGTGACTATGCAAATCCCTCTGCCCTGATTGGCTAAGGGCCATTAAGAAGCTCTGCATTTGTATACTTTACAATTATTGAGAAACAGTCATACAGACATTATGCAAATCAAATCCACTCCGCTAAAGTGCAAGGAATTGCATAAATTGATAACTGAGGATTTGTCTACATATTCAGCTTAAACCTCTCCAACGCATCATCAGTGATCTACAACCCATCCTGGGCAATATCCCTCGCTTTCACAGACCTTGGGTGGCAGGGCAGTCCTCGCCCACAGACAACCTGCCAACCTTAAGCATATTCTCACCAGCAACCACACACCGCACCATAACAACTCTAACTCAGGAACCAATCCATGCAACAAACCTCAATGCCAACTCTGCCCACATACCTACACCAACAACACCATCACAGGACCTAACCAGATCAGCTACAACATCACCGGTTCATTCACCTGCACGTCCACCAATGTTATATATGCTATCATGTGCCAGCAATGCCCCTCTGCTATGTACATTGGCCAAACTGGACAGTCACTACGTAAAAGGATAAATGGACACAAGTCAGATATCAGGAATGGCAATATACAAAAACCTGTAGGAGAACACTTCAACCTCCCTGGCCACACTATAGCAGATGTAAAGGTAGCCATCTTACAGCAAAAAAACTTGAGGACCAGACTCCAAAGAGAAACTGCTGAGCTTCAGTTCATTTGCAAATTTGACACCATCAGATCAGGATTAAACAAAGACTGTGAATGGCTAGCCAACTACAGAAGCAGTTTCTCCTCCCTTGGTGTTCACACTTCAACTGGTAGCAGAGGACCTCACCCTCCCTGATTGAACTAACCTCGTTATCTCCAGACTGATTCTTGCCAGCATATTTATACCTGCCCCTGGAAATTTCCATTACATGCATCCGATGAAGTGGGCATTCACCCACGAAAGCTTAGTCTTAAAGGTGCCACAGAACTCTCTGTTGCTTTTTACAGATCCAGACTAACACGGCTACCCCTCTGATACTCTACATATGGAATTATTCCAGAATAGCTGTTTCGGAATAAATGTTCTGGAATAACTATTCCTGAATATCATGTATGAACACTCTTATTTCGTAATATACTTAATCCAATTTGGAATTGGATACTACTCATTGAAGCGCACAATGCATGACTTATTGAGACTTGTGAAACATCAAAAATTGGTTTTCAAAAGTGAAATTGAGTGAGAGGGCATGGGAAGGAAAAGAAGTAGAACCTCAAATGCCATTCAGATCTGCTGATGATTCTAGACAGTCTAAGATGGGGGAGGGACAATTAACAAAATGAACACAGTGGATGAGCATCCATAATCTTGACTAAATACTCTTTAGTGATGTGTTTAGGAAACGTCTTTTGAACATAATCCACTTTCTGGAAACACATTTTCCAAAGTAATTCAGTCAAATCAACAAAGGCCCTTTTGAAAAATTGTACCCTCTGAAAAATTAAGTGTTTGGACTAAATGTTTTAAAATAAAGTTTATTTGCGTGTTGGGATAGTGGTTGAAATGATAACTTTTACAATATCTTCAAGTATGAAACTATTGTAATACAAATGACTCGGTCTCTTTAGAATGGCTCTTTCAAAGTTTTAATTTAGTTAGTGGGAAAACAAATCAACCCAGATTGACAAGAAAACCATTAATTAATGACTTTTAGTTTTTTGTCATTTCAACAGCTGAAATAGCCAAAAGAGATGACAATAAATTATTAAAATTAGATATTTAAAGCAAAATCATATTTACAATACAATTATGGCTGTTTTAGCCTAAGTAGGTGTAAATATATCATCTTCCACTGGAAGAACTGATCTTTCAATATTAAACATCATAGAAGCCAATATTTGAAAGCAATTAATAGGGCCACTTCAAAATAGGTGGAGAAGAGACATATTTATAGCTCCTGTTTTAATGCACAGGAATAGATGGATTTGTTGTAGGATAAAATAAAAATTCTGTTCTTTTCCTAACCACCCATCTAATAAAGCAGTCAGTTGGCATCCAGGAAACACTAATATCAAGTGCAGATAATCAGTTCCTGCTGCTTGCCATTATACAATTAAAGATAAAACAAAAGGCTTCATATTCATGTTACTTTCTCATTGTTAAAGTAACTACCTTTCTTGCTTCTTATCTTTGTTACTCATTAGAGGAGCTGACAAAGCAGAGGAAACAGTAATGAAACTATAGGGATGTTTGTTGTCTGTTGAAGTTTTGGTCCTTCAGAACTCATTCCAAGATGAATCCAAGCAGGCATATTTTTCTTTGTAGGACCTGAAGGAACAAAGCCTGAATTTAAATTCCTTTAAATTAAACAGAAAAAGGTATGATTTGCATGTACTTCATTGCTCCAAAGTACTTCCTTTCAGGCTTCAGCTGATCACCCAGCTATGGAGTCTCTTTCAAGGGAGTGTTTACAGTTCTGAAAGAGTTGTGAATGGCAGCACTCAGAGAACATTTAAGAAATGACTGATGAGATTTGATGGCACTCAGGAGAGAAAACCTCCAAGTATTCATATGTAAATCCCAGATATTTGCCAGAATGTTGCTTTTAAGTACTGCCATATTTTCTTTCCAAGTGCATATGGAGTAAGTAGATGGAGGTAATGTTTCCTCTAGAGACCCAGAAACTGGTTTTAATGTGAAAGAAAAATGTCAGAGTACTAAAAGCTTTCAGGTTTTTCCTTTGTAAATAAAAGCCTCCAGGGAACTTGAATGGAAAAATTCCTTCTAAAGAGATTATCAAATTTGTTAATTCACTTAATGGTCTTTCCAGGTTAATTGGATTTTGCTAATCAGAATGTTGGCCACGTGTGTTTACCTTGATTCTAACTTCTTAAGGGCTTAAAATGGTAAACATTTAATGAAGAGAGATCTTCTCTTTTGTTCCACACACAGATACATTATAATTTAGCAGATCTCTGTTTAAATTAAAGGGAATCTGGAAGGAACAATTTTCTGTTACATTATGTGCTACATAAAGATTTTCACTATGTGTGTGTGTGTGTGTGTGTGTGTGTGTGTGTGTGTGTGTGTGTGTGTGTGTGTGTGTGTAATATATATATTACACATATATAATATAGCATTTTTATAATATATAACATTTTGTATACATAATGCATATAAAATATAGGTCACAATTATTTATATATAATCTGAAAAGAAGTATACCCTGCAACTCCCCCTCAATTCAGAGAGATCTGTTAAATTAAAAAATATTAACCTCTGACTTTAGGGGAATTGAGGAATTCTTGAACATCATCTCTCACTCCATTAACTTTCTCCGAGAAGTTTAGTATTTCACCCCACACTCTTATCCAAATCTTTAAAAACCAAAAATATTAACATGAACTTAGCGCTGTTGAAAGGTATTGACATACAAAATCTCTTATTTATCCACTGTTCAAGTCCATTGTGGTCAGAGATTGTACAGACTTTCCTATAATATCCTGACAATGTGCCTCCACACGGGGCTAGAGGGGTCACCTCTAGCAAAGGCAAGTCCCTACGCTTATCTTTCTAAAATTTCCCATCATTGCTACCACTGGTGGGTTTCCACTGATGATAGCAACAGTGAGAACTCCAACGTAAACAAGACCCCAGCAACTGTCAATGTGTTAATCACAGTGTCAACTAGATCTGATTTGCGCAGGATTAGAAGACAGAATGATTACACTGCCAGTGGGCAGGATACAGTAGGGCCTGGTCTAGGTCGACGTAGTTATGGTGCTCAGGGGGCGTGAAAAATTCACAACACTGAGTCCCATAATTAAACTGACCTAACCTCCATGGCTAGGTCAATGGAAGAATTCTTCTGTCAACTTCTTATCCACTGCTTAGGGAAGTGGATTACCCACATAGATGGAAAAAACCCTTCTGTCACTGTAGAATCGCCTATGCTACAGTGTTACAGCTGTAGTGCTGTAGCTGTGCCTCTGTAGCACCCATAATGTAAACGTGGCCTAGCACTCCCACGACTGGTGGGGGTGCAGTGTTGTTGGCACTGGTGGGAAATTTTCTGTCAAGAAGGCTAATGTAGAGATGCCAGTGTAATCTTTGGCCTCTGGATTGAGAGCAAACTCATTCTAATACAGTCCAACACTCATCCCTATTGACCATGAATGTCACCTCAGCTGGACCCCAAGTTTAAGTTTGGTCCAGGCAAAGTGTTAAGTTTCCCCTTATACTGTACATCTGGAATCCTCATTTCTTTCATTTTATTCCCAGTATTGGTATTTGTCAGAACTCAAGAGACTCCCTTTCATTGAGTCAGACCTCCTGTCTTGAGAGAAACCTGGGGCTGCTTCTTGAACGATTCTGAATAATCCTGACTCTGCCCAAGTGTTTACTCCCCTCATAGCTGATTACTGAATATGAGAACAGAGGTGAGCTGTGAATAGTAAAAATATGCACTAGAGATGTGACACATGAATTATGTGTCATATGATAACTGCACATGAATTATGCTTTAGAAAGGAATAATGATGCTTCTTACCACAACCATCTTCCTGGTTTTGAGGGAAACAGTGCAGAATCCCATAAACACATTGGCAGAACAAACATCCTTCCTGGGTCCACTCTCCATGGCCAATGGCACCGCAGCTACTGCAGGAGGAGAAAAAAGATTCCATAAACAGGAGTGCTGTGACTGAAAATTGAGTTTCCTCTTTCTCCTTCAGTGGGAGATAGTCCCTGTTTGTTGCTTACCTGATCCGTTTATCATGTTCACAGTGTCTGCCAGTAAAGTGTTTTGGACATATGCAAAAACTCCCCAGGAAACAGGTCCCTCCATTCTGACAGCAGCTTCTGTTCAGTTTTCTGGCTTGAGTCAAAAGTAGAGAGAGCAGAAAGGAAGTTATCCAAGGAACTAGACGGTCAAACAGAGAGACTTGCCATGCACAGCTAGGTCACCACTAGGAATCTGTCTGGTAAAGAGTTACCATCTGATGGCTTTTAGGTTCCAGTTCTTTGTAGAAGAAACCTGTCCAGTGGGAAGAACCCACTACAGTTGGTTGAACTTGTTTGCTCTATTTGAAAAGACTAAAATTGAAGTTGATTTCTTCCTAAATCAAGGTTTGATTATCCTCACATTCACAGAGGCCATGATGCCTGCAGCCATATGAGCAGTATGCATGGTGTGTACCATTGTCAGGGGCAGAGCCAGCCCCACAGCAGTGGTGAGGAGGAACAGCACTGGCTGCCCCATTATTCTTTAAAATTTGGCCCCACAACCCTCAGCCATGACGGAGGAGCACCAGAGCCAAAACCAATAGAATTGCGACCTGGCACACGGGGGTTGCAGCGCTGCTGCTCAGGTTATGACAAATGGGCCATGGGGCCAAACATGAGCGTCGCTGTGACTTCCATGCACCAGGTCTCGATGTCACTCCCAAGTCTGATCCCACTACTTCCCTGTGATGACAGAGGGCAGTGGGTGCCAAACCTGAATGGGCAGTGCGGTGACTAGTGCTACTCCTCGTCATTGCTGTGGGGCTAGCTCCTGTGTCACGGCAACCCCTCCCACCTGCTGGAGCCTTGCCCCGCCCACAGGATTCACTCAGCGACAGCCCCAAGACCTGCTCAGGGAGCTGCAGTGAGTGCCTGTGTTGGGGAGCTGTCTGGGAGAGGTACAGCAAGGAGCCATGGGTGGAAAGTGGACATGAGGGGATTTTACTTAGGGCCCAGTGATGGGTCTTGGTGGGTGACTTTGTTTTGTTTCCTTGTTCTGGATGGGAGTCTTGTTGAAGAAGAAACTTTGGCCTGGAACCCCCAGAGGTACCTTGCATTGTGCCTATCATCTGAAAAAATTTGGGGGTGTCTCTTCACAGACATGGTACCTTTTAGAGCCCAGTTTTGCCTGCTCTGTGGCTAGTAGAGGACTTCAGTCTCCAGAGGTGTTAATCTAGTACCTTTCACAAACACTTAACTTGCTTAAAATAGAGGAAGTGTTTCAAAACATTTGCATCTGTTGGTAAGATATTTACATGTGAATTATTGAGAATATAAAAGAGTTTGGTTGACAGAGAGAATATGGACTGTGCCAAATTACAACAGAATGCTAGAGATCTTTCATGGAAAAAAAGTACAGAAGTGTAGATCAGATAGCTCTGATAGGACTGGATTCCAAAATGAAATAACAGAGGTAGGAAGATATTACACAGATTTTAAGATCTAAAATGTGTGTTAGTACAGAGATTATATAAGGGCTTCTGAAATATGCTGGGTTAAAACAATGGAGACTAAGTCCTGTTTATCTACAGAACAGGGTATAGCACAGGCAACACCCACTAATATGCATCAAGCCTGACCTCTGAAGAGTTCTTTATAGTATGTTTTCCATTAAAGAGGTGGGGAAGTATAAGAATAATTACAAGAACGTGCTCTCTGAATCATGGCAATAGCTTTCAGCACAGCTCCCTCGATATTCACATAATGAAGAGTATTTTCATATTTAGATAGTGTGTGGGGGTCTTTTTTTAGTTGCCTTAATAACAATCAAACCAAAGCAAACATTTCTGGGAAGAACAGAATTCATAAGAAGATTTAATGTGAGTTGCAATGGCTCTCATATGCCAGAGAAGCACTTATTTCTGAATTCTTCTCACTTCTCAGATTTGTACACTTCAAGCATGGCCCCATGCAGAGGGGCATATCTATTTTCATGGAGCAGTTCTAACTGTGTGATGTGAATTTTATGACTGACTGTTGTGCATACATAAGCTACATCATGTGCAGCATTCTTAAATTATTCATTATTTGTATTAGTGTAATGGCTCAGAGCCCCAGTCATGGACCAGGACCCCGTTGTGCTAGGCCTTTTACAAACACAGAACAAATCAATTAAGAGTTATATCATACAGTTCAAGCTTCTCTATTTTTAACCTGGAAACATGAGATTTTGCAAGGCAGATCAGATTACTGATCCACCTAGTGTGGTATCCTCTGTCTGGTAATGAGAATTGCTGATGTTTCAGAGAACAAAGTCTTGCCTGCTTCCGTAGTGCACCTAAGCAGTTTTGAAGTGCTGTACTGTACATTAGAGAGATTCCTTCTCAGCCCCGTAGTTCATGCCCAGAAGTGTGCAAAATGATTCTTTATCTTGGAATTTATAATTGCATATGCATGCTAAGTTACACTGTTACGCAGCCTCTTTAAAAAAAATTTAGCTACAGTGCCTGACTAGATTATATGCTGTGCTACTGAGGCTATGTCTACACTGCACTTATATCGTTAAAACTTTTGTCACTCAGGGGTGTGAAAAAACACCTCCCACCCCCACCCCGAAGGACAAAAGTTTTAATGACAAAAAGCACCAGTGATTTGTCAGTGGGAGATGCTCTCCTGGTGACAAAGCTACCACCCATCCTCGAGGGTAGTTGTATTTTGTCGGCAGGAGAGCTCTCTTCCAGCGACAGGGAGTGGCTGCCCTGCATGCCTTACAGCAGCAAGGCTTTAGCGGCACGGCTGTGCCACTATAAGTTGTGCAGTGTAGACATAGCCTAAGTAATGCAATTGAGGACAAAGGTCTGGACATCACTGGAGCCTGCAGTTCTTCAATTAAGGTTTCTTTAGTTATTGTAAAAAAAATAGTTCAATTTGGATCATGTATACAGTGAAGTTTGACTCTTCTCCCCTTCCCCCCACTTCTAGGATGCAAATATAATAACTGTGAGCATAGAAAAGAATATTTTTTTGATCATGTACCAATCAGTATTTAAGTGGCAACAAAACCCTAATGGCATGCTCCCATCAAAAGAGATGATTTCAGCCAACTTTCTCAACTTCCCCTTCATCTGTTTGCAACCAGCAAAAGTCAAAATGAGGTGTATGATGTATCACCTTTAACCCTTTCCATCAGTTACAGCATTAGTGCTGAAATGGACTAGCAGCATTTCATGATTATCCATAGGGCTACATTTTCCAAGTGTCACAGCATATTTTGATGGGATTTTGGGTGGCTAAATGCCATACAACACTTTGACAAGTTACAGATCGAGGTCAGATTTATACAGTATTGCCAAGTCTGAGTATTTAAAAATCAGAAGTGTCACACCAAAAACATCATGAGTAGCATACAAATCAGAAGATTTAAAAAACAAAATAGGTTACTTTTATTTGCCTTCTCATTTCTAAGGCATAGAGTTGGCCACATGGTTTATATTTAATTTTCACCTGTGGGTAGCTCTACTTTTTAAAAGAACTCTAATCTGTTGTACAATTTTCTGTTTTCAAGACAGCATTTAATCAGATCATAAACCAGAATTTTGAGTGTTTCCCACTTTCTGGGCACTTGTCTGCTATTCATTTATTCTGTGTAACTGCTTAAGATTTTAGAGCCAATTTTTAAATGTGGCCACATGCAGCAAGGTCCATCTGCAAAAATATGTATATACACTCCTTATGTGTGCAAAAACATGCATTTCAAAAGGTGTATCTTGAGTGCATATGGGATGAATGCACAACATAATCCATGGAATTTACTGTAGAATCCATATCTTCCTGCAGAATTTAGATTCAATTTCTATTAAATACAAAGGGTCTTTCATGCAAGTATATATTTCTATATACAATGACACAGGTTATTCATACAAACATCACTGGGTATGCAAATACAGAGTTGTGTGCATCCAACAGGTGGGCACAGAAGTGTAGCCCTTGATTTTTTTAATATAACAAAGTCAGGTTATTATGCAATGGTGCCTGCGTGAAAGGGTTTTTCCTTGAGAAGGTAGTTCACATTGGACATGAAAAACCTGTTGCCTCTCAATACAATGATTAACTTACCATCTGTAAGCCCAATGAAAGGTAAGACTTCAGAGGGGTTCCTCCTTCTCCTCTCAGAATTGAGATTATTTATATCATTAAAGATGGTTAAGGAAGTGTTTGGATTTTTCTGGTCTGGGTTATCATCACAGTTCTCCCCCTCACAGCCTTTAAATATATATATTAAAAAAACAACAACAAAAATTTAGGTCAAACTCTCAGTGATGGCTAAACTGTAGATTTAGCTTTGATAGCTGCAATAGATGGTGTTCAGATAAAGTTCCCATGGAAGTTTGAAGTGGTGGTGAAGATATTATCCCATCGTGGTATGGAAGCTGGTCAGTATTTTATGTACCTTTGTCTGTTTGTTTTTCTGCTTCAGGGCCTGATCTAATTCTCATTGCCTGCTCTCAGTGAGAAGTTGGACAGGTAAAAAGGTTTTTTGAAATGTTCTGAAATATCTTGCTGAAGCTTAGCAGTATGTATTACAATAGTATCAAGCAGCTCCTAACTAGGGATCCAGGCCTACTGTGCTAGCCACTGTACACACATTGTTAAAAGTTGCCCCAAAAAACTGATATCCTGAGACAACAATTCTGTCCTCAGTTGTGTTTAGAGTGGAACTGGCAACTGATTCAGGGTGCAGTGTTAATGGAAGACCCCAATCCTGTAAACAATCTGGTATATGCTTAATGTTACTCACATGAATAGAAGCATTTAGGATTATTCACATATGTAGGTGTTTGCAGGGTGAGGGTAAAAGCAGTATTTGTTTTGTATGCTAGCTATTTACAAGTAAAAGTATTCAAAGTGCACAGAAAAATACATTTTTTTGTTAAGAAAACCAGCAAAAGCAAAACGGGGGTTGGAAGGGGGAGAGAAGGAGTTCTCTTACCATTTCCAAATTGGATTACTTGTAAAGATAGTGCCAAGCTTAAAAGACACCTAAAACACAAAATGATACATATAAGGGAATGCTGATCTCACTAAAAAGACGTTAAATTATACCATCAAAGGAGCAATAAACCTAGCATTTATTATGCTCAACAATCCTGGAGCAATATAGGGTTTGAGGAAGGGAAATCAACACCTACTTACTACTACATTGATGAGTACAAAAGACAATGATAGCTATAGAGAAAGATAAAATTGAAGTTAAGGATCTTAAATATAAGATTTTATAAAATGTCAATACACTTCACTAGAATGAATGAACACTGGCATTTTCCAGACTGACTCTATGTATATAAAGTAGCATTAGCTTACCTAATAAGCAGCATTTTTCCTCAGGTCAGTCTGTATTTCTTTCCTTTCCTTACACCTGAAATCCCTCTGATGTATTTTTCACACCACAGTCCATAGAATGAAGAACTCTTTCTGACAGAAGGCAGACTAAAGCTACTCCCTGCACACCTCAGCTCACAGGGTAATGCTTATCCCCCTGAGCTTTAACACTGAGTTGACACTGTATGTATTCCCTGGCTCCCTGCAGCAGGTCACTTACAATTAGCACCTTCCTACTCTCTCCTCCCACCTCCTCACTTGACCTCTTCTCATTAACTCAGCAATTTGCCAAGAGGCCAGAGGGATGATGTTATACAGGCCCCATTATGGGGTGGCCTTGGGGCACCATAGTTAAGGTTGAACTAACTGAGCTTTCAGTTAAAAGCTAATTTTCAAAGTGCTCTAATATCCACATGCACACTCAGATTGTCTTGAAAATTTCTGTGCATCATCAGGATGCAGGATGATAGGGTGCAAATTTGGAATCTTTTGATCAAGATATAGAGCCCAGAAAAAATTAAAATGAGTCCGGAACCAGCAAAGGGACCATATTTGGAGTTTTTGTATGTTAGTTTTTGTGTAATATGCTACCTTGTTTGGGGCCTTTTAAATATTATATACAATATTTTAATGGTTGGCAATTTATTATTTAACTGTGCAGTCCGATAAGGACCTTGACAGATAAGGGACAGATCTTAGTGCTACAATAATAATGTATTATTTATTAGATTATAAAATGTGCATATCCCTAAATAAGTGCTTGTCTATATGCAGAGTGTCATGGGTTTAACTTAAGATGTGATTTTAAACAGATCTGAAGAAGTGAGGTTCTTACCCACGAAAGCTTATGCTCCCAATACTTCTGTTAGTCTTAAGGGTGCCACAGGACCCTCTGTTGCTTTAAACAGATTAGTTACTCTTGTGCAAAAGGCCATGTAGACACACTTGTTTCTGTTTAAACCATGCTTTATTTTGGTTTAGTTTAAGGAATAGGTTTGAATGAAACTGAAATAATTCCACACAGGGATTTGCACCAGTTTGACTAAATGAGTGCAAGCGTGTTTGCAGAAGACCCTCCATGCTCTATATTAGTGGAGGCCTGTTGCACTTATTGGGTGTATACCTATCTTGAAGTGGTTTCCTGTTATTTCAGCTGCAGTATTGCCAACCGAAGCATTTATCATTCATGAATTCAGACCCCAATATTGAGAGATTTGCTTTAAAAATCATATGATTTTAAACAGTAATAAATTTGGAACTCTTTTTTGCTTTCTGGTGTTTGAGCTTTCAAGGTTCATATTTTCCAACTTTTCTCTGCAACAACAAAGGCTAGAAACGTAATTTGTATTAAATGAAGGCTAAAATTCTCACGTTATCCAGGAGCGTAGGCTTTAACAAAAATCACAAACATCATGAGGTGTGCAGTAAAATTGCAAGAAGTAGAAACTCTGCAACTGTGCCTCAGAAATAAACCAAACATTCTGAATTTTCCATTTCAAGTAAGTTAGTTAATATTAACGGGGCCATTGAATTTCTGTTAAAAACAGGAGCTGGTGTGACAGTCTTGTCCAGTTTGTTTTTGCCTTCAGAGTTCACTGGTGAAAGAGAACCTATGTAAAGGTATAATAAGGAAGGAGAAATTTACAGTACTCACTAATCTCACAAAGCAATTCATTTTTCTTGTAATGATTCCCTCCCTAATTGACTCCCAAAATTGATCCTCTCTCTCACCATGATCCTGCTCTCTCACACACATACAAGTGGCCTATAAACAATGATCTTCATTAGCTTTCTGCATTTAAAAAAAAGAAGTTTACAGCCTAAGGAGAGTCAAAGACTTGCAAATTGAAGTAGTATTTATTTCCATGAACTTTGACTCAGGATAATGATGGTAAATAATAATTAGTACCTGATATTTATAGATCTCAAACTATGGGCCACTTATGTGAGTGGTTCCATTCATTTCAATGGGATTAATCATCACAGATAAGGTGAACAGTCTCCTGCAAAGACTTAAGCACATGCTTAACTTTTCATACAGAGGAGTTCAACAGTGCGTATAAAGTTAAGCATGTTCATGAGGCCATGTCTACGTTACGGGCACTACAGTGTCAGGGCATAGCTACTGCACCATAGCTATGCCGCTGTAATCTCATGGTGTACGCATAGGAAAGGTTTTTTCCGTCTCTGTAGAAACTCTGTCTCCCCAAGCAATGGTAGCTTAGTTGACAGAAGCATTCTTCCATCGAATTAGCTGCGTCTCCACCCAGGGTTAGGTCAGCATAGTTACGGCGCTCAGGGGTGTAGATTTTTCACACCTCTGAGCACCAAAGCTATGTTGGCCTAAGTTTTAAGTGTAGACCAGAACTCAGTCTTTGCAGCACTATGTCAATGAGGGGGTGATTTTTTACTGAAGTAATTATACCAGTACAAGCCCTAATATGGGCACAATTAGATCAGTATTAAGCTATTTTATATTAGAATAGCTTGTTTCCCTTCCTGTACTGAAATAAACTGTACCAGTATAAAACACATTTATACTGAAATAACTCCTTGATGGTACAACTTTCTAATGTTAGAGAAGGTCTGAGGGCTTGTCTACACTTAAAACACTACAGTGGCACAGCTTCCCCATTGCAGCTGCACTGCTGTAGCGCTTCAGTGTAGACACTACCACGCTGATAGGAGGGATTCTCCCTTTGGCATAGGTAATCCACCTTCCTGAAAGGTGTAGCTTGGTTGACCGAAGAATTCTTCAGTTGACCTAGCACTGGACTTTAGGTTGGTTTAACTATTCAGCTCAGGGGTATGGATTTTCCACACCCCTGACTGACATAGTTAAACCGACCTAGTTTTCTAGTGTAACCTGGCTTCTGAGTCCCTTTTTTTGTGGTTTAACTTAATGCATTTTAGAAGTAGATTAAACTAAACCACACAAAAGGCATTTTGAGTGCAGAATAAGAGCATACACACGGGAAGCTAGTGGCGGAATTCTGCAATAGCTTATTCTGGGCTATTTCCCCATGTAGACAAGCCCTGAATCTCCTACTCTTGAAGATGCAAAATAATTATGTAGTGACCATCACAAGCCCTCAACAACATATAGTTAATGGAATGGTTAATGTGAAGTGGTTGTGGTTAGCTAATGAATAAACTTTGACTGTTCCAGATATTTATTACATAGATGAAACTTTTTTTTTTTTTTTTGTATTTTCTCTTCTTTTGTTTGTAGCTTAAGTTTGCTAAGATCAGTGCCAGAAGGTTATTCATTTTTGGCCAATTGATCAGACATTGTTTTCAGATATCTACATTTATTATAAAGCTTAATAAAAATAAAATTGAAAAACTTCACTGATGGATTTGTTGGAGATGCTGCTGATGATGTTAGAATGAAAAATGCATCTCCTTGTTTTCTCTTCTGAATTATGTTACATTTGATTTTAAATGCAGCAACATGGTGAAAGCTGACATTTCTGGAGGGGTTCAGTACAATTTAGCAGCTCGTTAAAAGCTAATAGCTCTAAGGTGTGCCTGGGACTAGCAAGACAATTAGCACCAGGAACCCTTGACTTTGCTATTGTTGGGGTCTATTATCATGTTGCCATTTGCTTGGTTGTATGAAACCAGTGTGGTTTCTCAGAGGCATAGATTAAATCTCAAGAGAATTACATTACAATAGTTAACTCATTCATTATTATTTCAGCTCCATCAGTATGAATTAACAGATTCCCTTAATGCACTTGCTTTTTAAATGAGTTTTACTGCTTAAGAAAGTATTTAATCTTCCCCCTCCTTTTTAGTGTGGATTTATTACCAAGGACACTATCAATTCAGTGTATTGCTATGGAATAGCAGCCTAATAGCAATGTAAATGTAAACTCTATTAGCTGCATTATAATCATAAACTTTGCATGCTGTACCCAGTTATTTGCATGAAAGCATAGTGTATAAAGGAAGTTTAGTGGAACATGTTCTGAATATGTCAACTGGTGTCTAGAGAATCATAAGACATGCCCCTGCTTACAGAACACAAAAAGATCAAGCTATTGAAGGATGATCTTATGACTGAATTTTAGGAAATTTGGGTTCTGTCCTTGGCTCTGATACAGATTTCTACTTTGACATTGGACAAGTTACTTCACTTTTCTGTACCTCAGTTTCCCATCTGTAAAACTTGGATAAAAATGCTTGCTTGCCTCACAGTGGTATTGTGAAGTGTCATTAATGTATGTGAAGTGATGTGCATCGTTAGAGAAATCTATAAATTAACAGTAGCTGGCAAATAAGTTGTATAAATCAGTGGTTCAAAAAACTTTTGTACTGGTGACCCCTTTCACATAGCAAGCCTCTGTGTGCGACCTCCCCCCCCTTATAAAAATCTAGCTCATAAGCTGTTTAGGTCTCTTAAATTTACCTTTTCGAAAAGCTGGTAAACCCCATTCACTTTCTCTGGGAGAGCCGATGTTTACCAGCGATTTAAATATCAGTTGATGCTTTATGGACAATGCAAATTCAAGCAAAAATTAATTGAATATTTACTAATCATTGATCAGAATAATAAATATACTAGTCAAGTTCCAATGGAAGGTATAAATGTCTTGTTTTTCAAAAGCTGACTGTGCTACAGAGAGGTCATGTACGGACCAGACAAAAAATAAAATGAGTGAACTTCCTGCTAATGAAATTCAGGAAATTGAGCAGGAAACATTGCCCAAAGACCACTGGGATAGGGCTCAATTATGCCTCTGCAGAAACAGAGGGGAGGAGAGAAGGGCACATCATATTAGCAATGGTGCCTTGGAGGCATATCTTTTACAGGTATAATGCCTCCTGTGGGCTGATGGAGCACAGTGCAAAGTAGGGAGGGCACTATGCCTTTAAAAGTAGTAGCAAGCCCAACATACAGTACAACCATTCCAGTGTGTAGAGAAGGGGGGAAGCTTGTGGCCACCCAGAAATGTTTTGTTACATGGAGGGCTTGATCTTTAAAGGAAAATCAGGCTTAGCACCCATCTGAGTTTTCCTCCCAGGTTATTGGACTTGTAGTACAGCGATCAGGTAACTCGCTATAAATTGGGACCAAAGCCTGCTGGGAAGAGGGAAGCAGTGCTACCTGGTGGAGAGGGAAAAGGGGGTGAAATTCTATAGGGACCAGGGCTTGGGCAATCTCTTGTTGAGAGAGAATCAGGGAATAAGCACAGGAAAGGCTCAGCTGAAGCCATGTGAGAAGGCCTGGAAGAAGAACTGGGGAAAGAGCAGCAGCACATTGGCAGGGGTTTACTTGGACTAGAGGTAGTGGGTGTCCTCAGATGGTGAGGTGGATGTGCTAAGCTGCACCTCTCTCTCTCCCTCTCTCTCTCTCTGGGGCTAGTCAATGCTGTACCCATCACTAGCCCACTCCACAATATGGGGAGAGAAATTGTACCTGGTCCTTGTGACAGTGTGTACTCCCTCCCCACTCTAGTAAACTCACAATGGAGTGGCATAATTTAGCCTGTAGCATTAGGAACCTTCTAGTTATTCACCGTTGGGTTCTACTTTACTAATTGCCTTTTAAAGTAAGTGAGTCAATGAGTCATAGTCACTTTACAAAGCAATTAAAAAGGATTAGAGTGTCCTAAAGAGGCAGATTATGTCAGAACATTATATTATATTACTTTCCTTATTACTGCACCATCATGGGGAGTACTACATTAATTAAAAGTTGTAGTTTCCTCTTTAATTAAAATTAGTTTCTAAAGGTGAACTGTAAAACTTTTGGGAGGAAGAAAAGGAGGAAGGAAAAGAAGAAATGAAGGCATTATATAAAGTCGTTAACTCTTACATCTATCACCTACGTCACTGAGTCTTTTTTGTGTGTGTAGTCTTTCACTATAAAACTTTACCCACAGATCACAGTTGTTAAAAATTGAGTTAGTTGACATGATGCTGACCACAACTTTGTGTATAGACCAGGAAAAGTCATGTTCCATATCATGTCAGCTAATTGTGATTAAACCCTAACGGTCTGTGTTGGTTGAAAAATCATGCACAACATCATGTCAGCTAACTTGATTCTTCACAGTCGTGTTCAAACAATGTAAAATATTACAGTGTAGGCCCCTCCATCCTAACTGGGTGTATTTTGCATTAGAGAAGTGTACCACAAGTCACTGAAGCAAGTGCCACTTTCTCCAAAGACAGGTTTCAGAGTAGCAGCCGTGTTAGTCTGTATCCGCAAAAAGAACAGGAGTACTTGTGGCACCTTGGAGACTAACAAATTTCAAAATTTGTTAGTCTCTAAGGTGCCACAAGTACTCCTGTTCTTTTCTCCGAAGAGATGCCAGGATGAATGCTCAACTCTCACTCCGGAAAACAATCTGGATGTATCCGAGGCAGTTGCAGCAAAGCAACAGAGGGAGCCTCAGCAGCACATGCGGGAGCCAGGGACTGATACCAGCACGGATAGAGTTCTTGTCGCAATAGTCATGCCCCTCCCGGTTATCTCTGGGAAGTCTGCTTCATTCAGTTCTTGTGGCTGATGTTCACCAGGTTTTGAGACTGGGCCACAGCCAAACACAGCCACTGAGTTTTAGTCTCATCTTGGGCTGAGAGGAAGGATATATATCTGAATGGCAAGTCTGATATTCAGTCGTTCCAAAGAACAGATCTGAGCCTGCAAACTCACATGAGGAGTCCTACTGAAGCCAATAGAAACCCTTGTGTGAGTGAGAACTGCTCATGTGACTAAGGACTTGCTAGAGGTGGCTTGTTCCAACACACATTTTGCCTCTACCTGTTACAGCTTGCTGT